AGCCTAGAGCAATACGCAGACAACGATATTGAATTCGTTCCAATTTTATTAGGTGACTTTTTCTTGCCGAGAGAAAGCAGAAAGAGCCGTACTCTAGAACAGAGAGAATTGTTGTTTTATAAAGCGTTATGAGGTCTCCCGGATGAGCACCCCACCATGTGCCGCAAATTGAACGGAGAAAGTTGATCCTCTGCTGACATTTTTGCTTCAAATACGTAATATGGGCATTCCAAGTGCACTTTGAATCAAACCAGACCCCAAGGTACTTGAAAGACAATGATTGAGTAATGTTTCTGCCCAAAAGATTAAGATGCATTTGGGCTGGGTACCGCTTTCGAGTAAACACTACCAGTTCAGTTTTCTGCGGCGAGAATTCGATCCCTAGATTCATAGCCCAAGAAGACAAGTTATCTAAGGAATTTTGCAATGGTCCTTGCAAGTCCACGGCATGTGGACCTCTTACGGAAACCACACCGTCATCTGCAAGTTGTCTTAGCGTGCATTGTTCTGCCAAACAGTTGTCGATATCTTTGACGTAAAAGTTATAAAGAAGAGGGCTGAGACATGAGCCTTGGGGCAGGCCCATGTAGCTAATTCTGGAAGTTGTCAGTTGTCCAAGGGAAAAGTTCATTTGCTTTTCTGACAACAAATTGTACAAGAAATTATTTAAAATTCCAGAAAGTCCACATCTGTGCAGATTGTCTGACAGAATTTCAATGGAAACTGAATCAAAAGCCCCCTTAATGTCCAAGAATACTGAAGCCAATTGCTCCTTGTGTGCAAAGGCCAGTTGAATATCTGTGGAAAGCAGCGCTAGACAATCGTTTGTTCCTTTGCTCTTGCGGAACCCAAATTGTGTATTTGATAGCAAGTTATTTGATTCGACCCAGTGATCGAGTCTCCGAAGGATCATTTTCTCCAACAATTTCCTAATGCACGAAAGCATAGCAATCGGACGGTATGAGTTATGGTCAGACGCTGATTTGCCAGGTTTTTTAATGGCTATTACTTTGACCTGTCTCCATTCAGGCGGTACAATGTTGTTTTCTAGCAAGGAATTGAATAAATCTAGCAAGCGTCTTTTAGCGATATCTGGGAGATTTTTCAGAAGATTGAATTTAATCATATCGCTTCCCGGTGAGGAGTTGTTCGATGAAAGAAGAGCCATAGAGAAATCCAGCATTGAGAATGGTCTATCCAGAGAGCCGCCGCTAGGAGACGCTTCTCGAAGAATATTTTGTGCTGGAACTGAGTCCGGACAGACCTTTTTAGCGAAATCGAATATCCATCGGTTGGAGTATTCTTCACTCTCATTGAAAGATGAGCGGTTACGCATGTTGCGAGCCACCCTCCACAAGGTGTTCATTGAGGTTTCTCGTGAGAGTCCCTCGACGAAATTGCGCCAATAACCGCGTTTTTTTGCTTTGATTAATTGTTTCAGCTTTGTCTCAAGCTTTGAATATTCCTCGAAGTAAGTGGAGGTTTTGTGTCTACGAAAAGCTTTGAAAGCATCAGATTTTTCTACATACAATTTTGTGCATTCTTCGTCCCAACCAGGTGTGGCTGGTCTCCTTTTAAAGGGTGCACTTGGAACTTTTCTTTTTTGTGCTTCCAGTGAGCTTTTGTAAATCAAATCGGCTAGGAATCGATATTCTTCCAATGGTGGAAGCGCATCTATTGATTCGACACCGATTGTCACCGCCGTTGCATATTTCTGCCAGTCGATGTTCCTTGTAAGATCAAATGGAACCCGAGATGGTTCTGCAGAGTGAGGGCCACACTTTATTGAAATGATGATTGGCAAATGATCGCTACCATGGGGATCATTGATAACCTTCCACTGACAATCCAATGATAGCGATCTTGAACACAAAGATAGGTCGAGTCGGCTTTCTCGAGCCGGAGGTTTTGCTATACGTGTCGCTTCACCAGTGTTCAAAATAGTCAAATTGAAATCGTCACATAAATCGTAAAAAATAGCCGCTCTATTGTCGTCATATAGATCGCCCCACCCAGTACCATGGGAGTTCATATCACCCAGAATTAATACTGGGGATGGAAGAATCGAAACTAGATTCCAGAGTTGACTACGGCTAATGGAGGTTCTTGGTGGAACGTATACTGAAGCTATGCAAAGATCTTTGTTCTTCACATTTATTTGGCAAGCAACGATTTCGACGCCGGATAGAGCAGGAAGGGAAATTTTGTAGAAAGGGTAGCACTTTTTGATCCCTAAAAGTACTCCTCCATAAGAATCGTCTCTATCCAGGCGTATAATGTTAAAATCGTGGAAGTTGAGTTCTTTATCGGAAGAAAGCCATGTTTCACAGAGAGCAAATATATCACAATCAGAATTGTGAAGTAAAAATTTGAACGAGTCTAGTTTAGGCACTAGACTACGGCAGTTCCACTGTAGCACCGTGATCATATCTTCAACCTCGTTCGACGAATTATCCATCGAAAGATATGATTGATGCAAGGAGGGGCCATGAAACAGTCAATTGCTTAAGATATGATTCTAACGTTGGAAGCAAGGCAGAAACTAAGCTTCTTAGAGGGTCTTGTATGTTGAACATGTTTAATATGAATTCCACAATGTCCGAAAAAGCTAGCAAACCTCGTTCGGACTTGGATTTCTTTTGAGAAGTTTGAGGAGCAGCTTTTTTATTTTTTTTATCTTTGTTGGGCAATGGCGGAAAATTCTTGCTGCATCCAGGGATTGGATCAACAGGAGCCTTCGGTTTTGTTTTTTCATCCCCATTACCCTGGGAATTTGGCAATCGTCTGGAGGTGACTTTAGTTTTCTTACGGCGCACTTTCGGGGAGGGGCATTTTCTTTTTGAGGAACCGTCTATTTTTGAAGGTGCGTGTACCACCGTAGAATCACCTTCATCGGATGAGTCAGAGTCCGATTCTTCAACTGACAAAACCGAAAATTGGTTTGCATCTTGGACGGCTGATGCAGCCTTCAACATTTGAGCATATGTCTGCTTGGAGCGTCCAGAGATTGAACGCTGCACTTTATCGGAGTGCTGTTTGTACATCGGGCACTCCTGCAAGGGGTGAGGATTCTCGCCACAGTAAGCGCATTTTACTGATTCTTTGTGGCAAGAATCCTCTTTGTGGTTTTCACCACATTTGCCACAACGAGTTTTGTTGCCGCAATGGCTGGCCGAGTGTCCCAGCCTTTTGCAGTTGGTACAATTATATACCCTCTGTACAAACAACCGCACCGGAAAAAAAGCACCATCAATTTTAACAAAGTTTGGGAGAACTGAACCTGCGAAAGTCACCCGGAACGAGTCTGAATGTTTATAAACTTTTTTACCGTCTAGCAAAGATGCTGAATGCAGTTGCCTTACATCCAGTATCTTCACTAGCGTGGTAGCGAATGTCGAGTTTTTAAAAGTTCCCGAGGCATGTTTCAAGTCCTCGACAGTCAGACTCGCGTCGGAGACCACGCCTTCTATCTCCACATCTCGAGAAGGGATGTAGATGTTGTACTCAACACTAAACAACTCGTGATCAGCAATTTTATTTGCCACATCATAAGTCGGTGCTTCTACACGCAGTTTGTTGAATCTTTCTTTGTGTACCAAGATTCCCGGATACTTACGCAGCAAATCTCTCGTTATGTCGAGAGTTTTCAAAGGTTTATTTTTGGGCCGAAAAAAGACAACCCATGGTCCTTTCGAAGACGGTTCATAGTATCTGGTTCGCGTAACGTAGGCATCGGAAGATGCCATAAGTGTTGCGCAAAAGCGGTGCGCAACCACTTAAGAAGGAAAAAAAAAAAAAACCTTCACTAATTAATTAATTTTAATTACTAGTAATTAAATTTTTTGCCCGACGTACGAACAAATCAAAAAGAAAAAAAAAAATCGAAACAAAAAAAAAACTTATATCTACTTGCAAAAAGTTGTCTCACTATGACCCATACTCCCCTACCAGGGGTGAGAGACAGAGTCACGCGCCACGAGGCATATTGAATTTCTTAAAAATTGTCGCTATTATTTTTTCTTTGATTTGATTTGTTTTCCGTTGAACTTGTTTTCCGTACTGGAGCATTTCTATCGGCCCAGGGACTGGGGACTCGAAACATATTTGAAGCTCTCAGAACTTTCCTGAAGTTCCCGCAATTTTCATGTTATTCATGGAACTATTTTGAAGTTCACACAACTTTCATTAAAATCTTTAAAGTCAATTGAAGTCATTTAAACAGTATACAAAACAGTCAAGTTCAAATAGTCATTTTCATATGAATATGAACAGTCATTCGGCTCATCGTTCACTGCCGCGTGAGAGTCTGAATAATTGGAAAGTAATCGATTCACTGACAGTCGAGCACTCAGTCAGTAGCTCAGTCAGTATGTTCCCTTGCTTTGAGTGACTGAGCGTACATTTTCTATGGAACCAAACATTGTAGAAAGAACGTTCTCTAGTAAAATGGTAGGAATATTATCCTAGTAATCCTTTGAAAATATAATCTAAAAAAAAAATTTTGACGAAAATTTTCGGGGTCGAAGAAAACCAGAAAAAAACATTGTCAGTGTGATGCAAATTTTTCTAATGATTTTGTTCATGCTTGAAAACTTCTTATCTTTCGCTGTTGAAAATTTCAGAGAAGTGTGTATTACTGCTTTTTTTTTTAATATGACCGCAAAACTAATAGCCCGGACATTTTTTAATCCGATTAATTTCCTCATCATTTCACTACACAACGTTATTTATACGATGCTTGGTTCAAATTTTCAAAGTACGTGTTGTCCAGAAAAATCTGATCAATTAAAAATTCGAGAAAATTAACCGCCCCGTTCATGTAATCATAAACTCAACCTGTACGTAAATTTTCATAAATTCTTAAACCCTTTGACCCAAACCTGATCGGTAGCATAAAAATCCCCTCATCCATAATGTTACTCGATTCTAGATTAGCAGATTATCCTTAACAAAAAAGCTTCAATTCTAACAAATTTCCTTTTATTTCCAACTCTTTCCAGTTTGCAAGGAGTGGCTCGTACGGGAGGACAGCGCTCTAGCGTATCAGCTTCAAAATAAAGAAAGTGAGTTATAATCCCACATACGACATACGGAAACTCAATATAGAACAAGTTTGTCTGCTTTACAGTCAACGAGCACTACAAGGGCAACAAACATCGGAATCAAATCGTCCGTCAAGACTTTCCAACTGCCCTGTCCGAGCAAATTCGTGAGAAAGAAGATGCCGAACGTCAGGCCGCCTTGTACCATCAAATGATCAACGAGCAGTATGTGGTTCTGAAGTTGACGACCACAAAACATGATCTCTTAATTAGTTTCCTTTTTCTCACCCCAGGGAAGAAATGGACGCCAAGGTAGCACGCGACATAGCCCAGCAGCTGAAACGTGAAGCCGAACTAAAGCGTAGGCTGGAAGCGGAGAAAGGTGAAATGCTAGCCCGAAAGCTTCAGGAACAGGCTGCGATCGGTGGTGGTGGTGGTAGAAAGTCTCACCGCGCGGTCGAACCTGATCTTGCTTTTCCACTGCCACCGAGAAATTATCCGAAACCTGTAGTGCAACAACAACATCAGGTACCTGCGAGACCTCCTTCCATTCATCACGCTTCGCCGTACATAGGCCACTCACCTCCGGGACCATCAGGTTCATCGGCCATCGAGCCACCGGATCTCCATTATGCATCGCTTGAACTGAACTCGCCAAAGCGACCACTTCCTCAGCCAGCGTTTCAGAATGGCCGGAACCCTTCGGCAAATATTTATCAGGAAATCTCACACAATCCGTCCTCGAACTACAACCGCTACGAGGAGGATGAAGAAGGCTACACGAACATAAATCTTCATTCACACACTCCGGAGAAGAAGCAACCGGCCTTCCCCAACAACGTTCGGAATGGTTCTACATCCGTCGACATTGTGGAAAGTATTCGGCAGTACGACATACCATACGATGGCGATTATAGCTATCAACTTCCACCTCCTCCATCGTTGAACGACATAACCGGTCACAGTCAGCGATTTAGCAACCAAAGGGGCAACCATCCTTCCGAAGCGTACAAATACAGTAGTAATGTTACAACGGAGGATGACTTCCGAAACAACTCCAACTTCAACAAGATATCTCCGGAGAAAATCGTCAGCCCTCCAACGTTGGTCGGAGCGGTTGGTGGTGCCTACGGAGGACCCAGCAGAAACTCTCGAGCGGCAGCCCTCAACTTCAACACATACGATGACGACGACTTTGATGAAGCGCTTGCACAGCCACTGCCGTCCAATCATACTCCTCAGCTGAATCAAATAGGACTGCCATCCTCGAGTCTGGATCTGGGGGTGCCATCCACCTCCGGTGCCAGTTCAAGGTATCTGAGCAACGGGAGCCACTCGCATCAGCAGCAGCATCATAATCATCATCATCATCACCATCAAAATCCGCACCTGTACCAGAATCACCATCCGCATCATGCTCAAATTCAGCAACAGCAGTTACAACATCAACAACAGCAGCAGCAACAAGCCGCTCACCATAGTCAGACAGTATCTCCTTCGCATTCCAAAAGCGGAAGCTACGACAAAGCCGATCGGATACGGGCGCTGAAGGAAATAGGACTGCCACCGGAGGAGATTCAGGAAATCGATCAGAGGCTAGAGCAGGAGTTGAAGGATGAGGTGAGTTGAATGGTGGCTTTTGCGTTTGTTTTGAATATGGAGTTCTTGCGTTTCAGTAGCTTTATGATTTTTGATCTTAGCGGGTCCGTTTCTAGTGTCATGTGATGCTTCGAAATACCATGACTAGAGGCAGACTCGTTTAGGTCCCTGATCGTTTTCTTCAGTTTGTGACCTTGAGCATTTCCTTCGTTTTGTTTCATTTATTTGTACATGATTTTTTTCCTTCTTTTAAACATCAGCAGTTCTTTCGAATAAAATTGTTTCATGATTTATTCCTACAAGTTTTTCATCCAGATTATTGCTTTCGTTTGGGCAGTTATTTTGAATGAAATTATTCTTATGAATTTTTGGAATTTTGAGATTTTTGTTCATGATTTATTCTTGGGAGTTTTTCATCTTAGAAACTGTCCTTCTTTTAAACATGAGCAGTTCTTTCGAGTGGCAGTGGGCGGAAATAGTAATAGAGCAAGAGCTATGGTTGATTAGGATCGTCGACACTCCATTTTGCTTAAATTTGTTAGGTTTACGGATGCTATTCCGTATGTTAGGCATCAAATACGTTTGGAATAAGGATGTTAGGCATAACCCAAGCAACTAAAAGTTCCGCATTCAACGATAAAACTCACTTTCAAGTTCCATGAAGTTCACATCAAGTTCCATAAAGTTCGAATAAAGTTCAGACAGAACTTTCAAGTTCCTTTAAAGTTCACATAACGTTTTGACAGAACTTTCTAGTTCCATAAAGTTCAAATAAAGCTCCGACAGAGCTTTTTTCTCAAGCAACTAAAACTTTCGCACTTTACGATAAAATCCACTTTCAAGTTCCTTAAAGTGCATGTAAAGTTCCAACAGAACTTGTTGGCTACTTTAGAAGCTCTAGAAAGCACACGAGACTCCAAAAAGGTTCGATGCGTAATCTTAGAACACTTCTTAGGAACTTCAGACAAGGTAGAAAACTGAGCAAGTTCCCAGTAGAGTCTCTTAAAATTTCCCTGCGGAAATTTTTAGCAACATGAAAGTTTCTAAAAAGGGACCTCCTCAAAGCTCATATGAAACAATCCACATAAGTTTTTATTAGTAACAAGAGTTCATGAACGTAAATATGAAATGATCAGTAGCTCAAATAAATCATTATTCTTATATTTATGCAGTGCATCAATATTCTATCAAAAGCATTAAAACATTAAAGAGCAATTAATCATTTTGTTCGACCACTTTCCACAGAGATGGCGCTGTTCCGCTGGTAGGAAGTGATAAAAATCCCCATATAGAAATTGAGAGAAGTGGAAATAATTCGCTTTCGGTGCATATTCAGTTCAAAAAAAGTGAACGACAATCTAAAGAAATAAGTCAGGGACTTTGTCGTTCACTTTTTCCCCGGAAATTATTGTTAAACAAGCTACAACTAAAAAAAAAAACGATTTTTCCCCATACAGTTTTACCTGTGTTACTACCAGTCCCCAGAGAGCCAACAAATTCAAATTTGAGAGAGAAAATTTGCTCTCACGACCTCAATCTCTCAACATGCCATGTATTTTCATGACACTCGATTTGTGATTTCCCTTTCACAGATTACAAAATAGAGTACCTGACACTACAAAACATGTCTGGTACCTCTATATACGCATTTACTTTAACATTTGAAGTCCCTCCTTTTTTACATATTCTCCGCAAAAGATACTTTCTGCCCCGCCCCATTCATAAAAATTGGCGGGAAATTCTGTGAGGGGTGAGCTGTTTTGTATTGTTTGTAAATGGATATATATATAGAGTCGGTGTATAATGAGTAACGCCAAGAGTGAAGCCAGGTCTACCTATTGAGCTGTCAAACCGGCTACCTATCGTGCAGAGTAAACAAACATTACGATGCTATGAAAGGTCCACGAAAGGTATTGTAATTAAATATAAAATAAAATTGAAGAAATGATCATAATCACCCAGTGAGCATTAAATTGGCATGGGATACGTTTGTTAATGATCAGTAATGAGAAATTTTACTATTTTTTGATAAGATAATTTGATAAAATCACTGTTATAACGATTCACTACAGCCGCTTTTTTTTTTGTTCTCGCTAGAAGTCATTTGAAGTTGATGTAGAAGTCCTCTGTTGCCAAGTGACAGAAACGGAATTCTTCGAAAACCGTGATGCGAGTTCAACTGTTTTTCTCTTGGCGTGACTCATTATACACCGACTCTAGATATATAGAGGTACCAGACATGTTTTGCACTGCAGTGTCCTCTGTGAACAATTAACGGAAAACAGATTGTGTGCACACAGTTCGAAGAAGTAGTGTAAATTACTGTTCAATATGATGCACATAAATGGAGCGTCACAAAGCATATACGCTTACATTATATATCATGTAAAGTCCTGACACATATCATGCAATGTAGCAAATATTGTATACAAAAGCCCATCTTTGTAAACAACATTGTTTGCAAGCTGGTCGGTTGCGTGAAATGAAATACAAGTCTACGTGAATGAATGTTTACATCACAATTAAAATTCAGAATTTTTATCTGTGCAGTTTCCGATACATGTCACTGCAAATAACAGCAGTGACATCTGATGGCACATGAATGCAGAAGCTTGACAAAATGATTAATTTCCTGGATTCGAACCCGTATATTCGGCATGCGATCTAAGGACGCTAACCACTGCGCCACAAGTGTGCTGGAATTAGCACTGGGCGATCTTGAAGCCAGAACCGATTCACCGATTTAATCAATCATTTTGAATCGATCTTTTTGAATCGATTCATTATTCAAAATGGCACAAAAATGTTTCATTATAACGGATCATTTAGTGTGATGATTGATATCATTTAGAAATAAATTGTGTAGTACGTTCGCAGTAAAAGTTGTGAGCGTAACATACATACATGATGAGAATTTAGTAAATGACTATTTTGATTTCATTCCACATGTGGAAGTTTTTGCTCAGGATACTTGATTAGGTGAGTGATTTAACAGGCTATAATATTCGTTTTATTGATATTGAATAAACGATTTAAAAAACGAAAGATTACATATGGCATACATTACATAAAACGATTAGATGATCGGAGTGTAAAAGTAGGTAAGTACGGAAAGTACTTAATTCAGATATCACTGAAGCCAATAGGGTAGGGACTTCGGCCTAATCGCCCATTTTGGGCCTATGGAGCAGAAAACTTCAAGTAAGTCCATGATTTCAGAGTTAACAAGTCAATTATGCGTTTGGTACGATACTTTAGCTAATAAGCTACCGAACGAAGTCAATGAGAGCGCGTGATATGAAGGTTTGCACCCATTATTCCCAAAAACAAAAGAAGCGCTCCGACCGAATCAATTTTTATCTTCATCCGATAGGCCGAAGTGAATTCATTGGCGTTTCAATGGCGTTTCAATGCGTTAGGCCGAGTTTGGCGTCAAGAAGCAGTGTTAGACTTTTGACAATATCTCAACGATTGGTTTCTCTTTATCAAATCTTAAGCGCCCATTACATATGTCAATATATTGACAAACATCGTGTTGTCAATTTTCCTTGCAATATAATCAATCTATAAATATTGACAACATTAATGACAATTCACTAAAGTGTTGATTACACAGGTCAATATATTGACAATAAATTGACATACTGACAATATTATTGAAAAGGTAATATTGATGACGATGGTTTTATGACGAGTATTGTTGAAAACTGATTTTCATTCCACTTTCTCAATATTCTTCCTGTACCCAAGAGGAGGGAGAACGTACGTCATTTAGACCGACTGACTCACAATGCACCTTCACGCATGCAGTGTTGCCATTTTGTTTAAATCTTCGTGTGTGATATAAAATGGATATCAAACTAAATAAAAAAAAGTATCCTTTTACAGTCACCAATAGTGATCACTACCCAGCCTTCGTCTATATGGATGTTCATTTGCTACAAAATCACAAGCATAATCATTTTAAAATAAAATAAATACTGTCTGCGTTTCACATGCCTACACGTAACGCAAATTAAATAATATATGCAAGTTTTTCCTTTAGGAATGTTTGCCAAAACATCAGCATAATAGTTTATATATGGGAAACTCCATACCATGAACGTGGGTTATTGAACACGAGTGATAATTCCGCGCAGTCGACAATCGATTTGATTCAATTCCATTAATTTGTTATCATGTTGTCCTGTGTATTTTCTGTGTCCTGTCAAAAAGTTACAACATTTGATATTGGCGTTGACAGAACAATCGATTAATCGACAAATATTGACAGTTTCTTATTGGCACTTTCAGTGGAGTGAAAGGATAGTACCAACCTGGGTATTGCGAACTCTGTTGGTTTAATTTTTCAAGTATGCAAAAAAAAATTGTGAAATTCTTTCAAAGATTCAAATTGTTTTGCCGAAACAGCTCCCGAAATCGTATATACATGCTGTCAAATGAATTAATTTAAAAAAAAATTACCCTAAATTTAAGTTCTTTTAACTTAATTTTGGGTAATTTTGACTTTTGCATCCCACTCTCACTTTTTGTTGTTGTTAAAAACGGAACGAGAGATTCGACTTTCTCATGACTATCGTTCAATAAGCTATTAGTGAGTATATGAGATATTCTCTAATTTCAATTCTTAAATTTAATTCTCTAAATCAATTGAACTTAATTTTGGGTAGAAAATACTCATGAGTAAGTAATTATTTTTGCCGTAGTCAAATGTAATACCCCGTTCACATTACAGCTTATATCACGTAATATAGGCTGTCTTGCAATGAGCACTCATACATAGGATTTCCAGTGAAAACTAGAACGGGATATAAACTACTATAAGCGGTTTACTCAAAATTAGCTTATTGAACGGATCATGGGAGATGAGTGAAAAGAATTTAATGTTGGGTAATTTTTCGGTTCCGTGTAGGTCCAGCAACGACGTTTCTCTTTTGACTCGCTGATCCACGTTTCTTGTGTGGGGAAATTGAGACAAGTAATATTGACTTTAATACATTGAGGTTAAAAGGCTTCAAACG